GTTGTTATTGTTATTGTTATTGTTGTTGTATTATTGTTATTTATAATTTGTACAAATAACCTCCTTGTGGTTCGACCCCGGTCTTGCCGGGTTATTTATTACTTCGACACTCCTGCACTTGGGAGAAGACATCAATCTTTCAGTCGTGTCATGGGCCAGAACCTCTTCCTCTTCTTTGTCACCGAAGGTGACCTGCAAAACAAAGGGAATGCCCTTTTGCACCACCTGAACAGGGGCGGCGCGTGGACTCACACGCCGCCGCTGGGAAAGCTAGGAAATGAGTGGATCTGAAATGGCTTCCTCCCTTCTTCTCTCCCTCGCCGGTTGTGACCTGCAAATCAACAGAAAACACAACAACACAGTCGATTCTCCTCTTCCTAGATCTGTTTAGATCGGTTTCTCTCTCCTTTATTTTGGGTCTGCTCCATTTCTCTATTGATGGCAGATCTGGTGGCGGTTGGCTTCTGTGAAGGCCGATCTGCGGGGAGATGAAGAAGAGAACGAGGATGGCTGGTGCATGCATCCAGTTGGAAATGGTGCCAAATCTATGGGCGACGCCGTGTTAGAGGGAAGAGCTGTTGTGCTGTGGTGCTTGTTGGAGGCTGGAGTTGATGGTCTTCCTTCGCTGCTGGTGTTCAGTTGTCACTGCGACCAACTGTGAAGACCGTGGGTGTGTCCACTGAAGCTCTGGCGGAGGAAAAGGAAAAAGATCAACTGGTTGAGGAGAGATAGGGCTACAGTGGAGGCAGGTTCAGTAGCAGTAAAGAGTAGAGGGAGCTAATTCTTGTGGGTTGTCGGATCAAAGGTTGAAGATGAGAAGGAATGGGGGCTGTGGAAATGTGGCCGGTGGCTGGTGGAGATGGGTGAAGGAAGGAAAAATCTGAAAAGGGGAAGGGGAGGCGGCGCCCGGATGAAGGAGAAGGAGAAGTTAAGGTTTTTAGGGTTTTTCCTTTATTATGAAATTACCCCTTCATATGGTAAAATTCGCCACCCCTTTACATGTTGAAGGCTGCTATTTATAGGTAAAATATTGCTTGGTTTTTAAAATTGGTCCCTCAACTTTTTTTGTCAAATTTTGATTTTTTCGTTATATTTTCTGGTATTTTTTGAAAACAAGCAGTATCAACATCGGCTCAATGAGGAAAATTAATGATTATAAATGTAACGCGTTAAAAGTTGAACTTGTTTCAAATATCTTTAAAAATTGAAATTCTTTTGAGATGATGTTGAAAATGCTAAAAACGATGAAAATATATTTAAAAATGTATTTTTTGAATTTTCGTTGTTTTTCTCTATTTTTTTGGATTTTCTAAAAATTTTTAAAAACATGGGTAAAAAATTAGGGAATAACCTAGAATCATTTGCCATGCATTTAGGCATCTTAGTTTTCAGATCAAGATCATGCTCTTGCTTTCTCTCTTTATATTTTTTGTAATGTTTATGTTTTGCTTTCATTAATATCAAGTTTATGTCTTTCATTTCCTTTCATTTACTTAGTTAATTTTTATCTTATTTATGTTTTTATTTTATTTATTTATTTTTCTTTCTTTTATTATATTTAGTTAAGTTTATTATGTCAATGTGAAAAGGTTACACTAATGGTGTAAGAATAAGTATAGTGTAAACTTAATATGAATTTTAATATTTGATACTAACATGTTTTGTATTTGTTATCTTGTTCACTTTTTAATACTTTGTTTGTTAAATGACTAATCTAGATTTATATTGTATAACACTTGGTACAACAAATACTTAGTACTCTCATAGTCCATATTGTAAGGTATAACTGATACTTGAGCTATGAAAGGAACTTTATTTGTTGTTAACATAAGTTATAATTATGAATGCCTGACGAGATTTACAAGCATTAGCATTAATTGAATAAGATAACTAATGTGATCATGTTAACAATTTAGAATTTAATTGAAATCTCCTTTGTGTGTGGTTTCCAATTGAATAATAAGAGTTTATATTATACTTGTTTGATATACTATTAGTGGAACCTCTAACCTTGACATTTGTTATTATTATTGTTTAATCCTTATATTAATATTTCATCTTAAATATTATTATTATTGTTATTATTGTTGTTATTGTTGTTGTTGTTATTGTAGTAGTAGTAGTATTAATGTCATTTATAATTTATACAATTAACTTCCTTGTTGTTTGGCGTCGGTCTTGCTGGGTTATTTATTATTTTGACACTCCTGCACTTAAGAGAAGATATCAATCTTTTAGTCGTGTTAGTTATCAAACAATAACAATTACATTTAATTTAATTTCTTCTATTTTTTACTTTTTAAATTAGGGTTCTTATAAGAAATTTAGGGATTTTGAGAAAAGCAGTAAACATAATGAAATTGAGGTGGAATAGTATAGAAATAGTGAATGTAACTAGTAATTAAGAAAGAAATTAGATTAGTTTGAAGAATGAACTTGTAACTAAGGATGAGGAAATAAAGGAATGAGGTTTTGATTTTTTATATTTGAGAAATGATGTTATTTGTAGCGGGGGGTGAGCAATGTGATGTCATCTAACAATGATAGAGGCTTTTGTTGTTCCTCTTGTGTGAGATGTTATATGTTGGGAAAGATTTTTGGATTTAATCATAGAATTATGATTAATGTTTAGGAGTCGCCACCTAGTATTATAGTCACTAGAAACTATGGTTTGTGAAAGTTTTGGTAAGGAACTGATTGTGTAAAGGAAATACGCATTACTTCTAGTGCACCTTACCTAAGGTAAGTTGCATTGTTTTTTGATTATTTTTTTCTAAATGAGGTTTCTATTTGTTGGTCTTTTCTAAGGTTCAAGAGATAAAGTTTCTATTTGTTAGTCTTTTCTAAAGTTCAAGACAGATCTCTCTTCATGAGAACATCTCTACCTTATTGGGTTAAATGCTAACAATTCTAAAAACTAAATCTTAGCATCGCATTTATTTACACCTCGTATCTTTAATACCTAAGGGTGTATTTTTTAGTATAATTTTACACATCACAAATATTAAACTTTCTTTCATAACAAATACAAAATATATTCGTATCAAACATTAAGGTCCATGTTAAGTTTACACTATACTTATTCTCATACCATTAGTGTAACCTTTTCACCTTGACATAATAAACTTAACTAAATATAATGAAAGAAAGACAAATAAATAAACAAAATAAGAATATAAATAAGATAAAAGTTAACTTAGTAAATGAAAGGAAATAAAATGCATAAACTTGATATTAATGAAAGCAGAATATAAGCAAAACTAAACAAGAAAGCAAGAGCATGATCTTGGTCTAGAAATCAATATGCCTAAATGCATGGCAAATGCCTCCTTTTATAGGCTAAAATTAGGAAATATTGATTTGATGACTAATTGATGAGTGGGTGGCTAACTCTTGACTTGATGACAATCCTTATCTTCTTTTGTTTGTCCAAAACATCATTAATAATGTTAGAATTGAACCACTTGAAAACATGAAAGTTCTAGAAAATTGTCTCGGCTTTTCAAGAAAAAAAATTGAGATTATTTGGACTTCTAAAACTTCAGATATGGGCTAAATACTTAACAGTGTTTAGGTTGTAAGACAGATTCAGACTTTTTTGTTGTTGCTATAATTTGGACTTGAAAATGACCTTTTTAAATCTTGGGCTCCATGAAAATGATAAACCTATATCTTATGTTCTCATCTATATAAAGTAGATCTAAATTCAAGATCTACTGATTAGTACTTAAAAGTACATTTTTATCATGGTTTTATATCATCATTTTGCACTTGAAGTATCAATAACTCCTTAACTAAAATATGTTTTATAATAATGTATCTAATAAGATAAGATACCTATAATTTGTGGTAAATATCTATTTTTAATGCAGGCCTATCACATAAATGAAAATATTGATTGATGACTTTAAAAACTTAAATTGCAAAGGCAAAGAGATGGCCAAACTTAGAAAAGAGATGTCGGTGCAATCCAAACCGGAACACTGTTCGGTAATTGGGTCATATCTAGAGCTATATATCTCAGATTTAGGTCCAATTTATATGGATGGAAAGGTAAGACATAGGCCTACAACTTTCATATGGAGCCCAAGATCTAAAAAGGCCATTATCAAGTCCAAATTGTAGCAACAACAAAGAAGCCCGAATCTGTCTTCCAGCCCGAGCACTGTTCGGTATTTTGGCCATATCTGGAGTTCTAGAAGTCCAAATGAGCTGAAATTTTTACACAAGAAAGCTGAGACAATTGCCTACAACTTTCATGTTTGCAACTGGCTCCAATTTTGACGTTATCAATGACGTTTTGGGCAGACAAGAGAAGATAAAGATTGTCACCAAGTCAAAAGTTGGCCACCCACTTATCAATTAGTCATCAAATCAATAGTTCCCATTTTTGGCCTATAAAAGGAGGCATTTGCCATGCATTTAGGCATCTTGGTGTTCAGATCAAGATCATGCTCTTCCTTTCTCTCTTTGTATTTTTTATGCTTTGTTTTCATTAATATTAAGTTTATGCCTTTCATTTCCTTTCCTTTACTTAGTTAACTTTTATGTTCTTATTTTGTTTATCTATTTTGCTTTCTTTCATTATGTCTAGCTAAGTTAATTATGTCAAGGTGAAAAGGTTACACTAATGGTGTAAGAATAAGTATAATGTAAACTTAATATGGACTTTAATGTTTGATACTAACATGTTTTATATTTGTTATCTTGTTCACTCTTTAATACTTTGCTTGTTAAATAACTAATCTTGATTTATGTTGTATAACACTTGGTACAACAAATGCTTGGCACTTTCATAGCCCATAATGTATGGTATAACCGACACCTGAGCTATGAAAGGAACTTGATTTATTGTTAACATAAGTTATAATCATGAATGCTTGACGAGATTTACAAGTATTAGCATTAATTGAATAAGATGACTAATGTAATCATGTTAACAATATATAATCTGATTGGAACCTCCTTTGTGTGTGGTTTCTCTATATATGATCAAATTACCAAACAGTATTCCGGTTTGAACTGCACCAGCATCTCTTTTCTAAGTTTGGCCATCTCTTGTCCTTTCAATTTCAATTTTTAAACTTATTAATCAATCCTTTGATTTATATGAAAGGCCTGTATCTAAAATGAATATTTACCACAAATTAAAGATATTTTAAATTATTAGATATGTTATTATAAAACATGTTGATACTTCAAGTGCAAAATGATGATATAAAACCTTGAAAAAAAAATACATTTTTAAGTACTAATCACCCAACAATTTTGTTTGGGCATTTTTTATCATTTAGGATTTTCTTTTATATCCCCTAATGTTGTTTATGCACTTTTATTGCTGAGGATTTTTTCATGCCCCAGGGTTGTTTGGGTACTTTTAGTCACTAAAGAATTTTTTACTCTTGCCTCCTAGTGTAGGGAGTGATCGTAGCCAATGTTATTTTCTCAAGAAAAAGTTATGAGGCTTAGAAAGGGATTTTTAGCATTTATGAAAGGAT